TTCGGAGTGAGAGGCTAACATTGTCTTCCCTAGAACCTCTTCCTTTCATGTATTTTGTCTTTGATGCGTTGATGGCAAGTCCAATCCGCCTAGCTTCAGTCTGATGTACGTTTCCGCCATCGTCTCAAAGTTTCGTGCCATGATGTCAATGTCATCGGCAAAGCCAAGAAGCTGGATGGATTTTCTGAAGATCGTGCCACTCGTGTCTATCCCAGCTCTTCTGATCACACCTTCTAACGCGATGTTGAATAGCAGACACGAAAGTCCATCACCTTGCCGTAGCCCCCTTCGAGATTCAAAGGGACTCGTTTACCCCGATACTCGAACAACGCACATCACTCGATCCATCGTCGCCTTGACCAATCGCGTCAGTTTATCCGGAAATCCGTATTCGTGCATAATCTGCCATAGCTGATCTCTATTTAAAAGGAAGGTAAAAATCCAACTGGATGGAGGTCCTCGATGTTCCTTTAAGCATTGGATTACGGTTCCTGATCAGATGGGTCTTTATCAAACCATTGAATGTGCCGGCACGGGCATACTTTTCGCGCGACATCGATCTAACTACTCCTCTAAGTACTCGCATCCTTCGCGCCGCGTTCCAAAGCGTATTCATCGACGTTTCGCGCGATAAACCGTCCACGAATTGCCGCCAGTATCCACGTTTCTTGGCTTTGATGAGGCTCTTGAGTTCGTGTTCAAGAGTCGAGTAAAGGGTGTCCACGATAAAATTGCCACACACAAAATTGATTCGCAAAATTCGAGTTTTCATCCGATTGCCATCAAATTTTCAGGGATTGAGAAATAACTATTAAACTTCATTTTACCATTTTACTCGTATTTTATTTACAGTCCATACGCAAATGCCCGCACCTTGGCCTTAACCCCGGCCTTAAGATTCTGCACAACCTGTGAATCAACCGTTTTTTGCATGTAAACCCATACTTTCTTCAGTTCCTCGACTGTCTTCACTACCTTAGGTCGTTTAAGAAGGTGCTGCTTCATAATCGCCCAGTACTTCTCGATGGGGCGGAGCTCCGGAGTGTTGGGAGGGTTGAACATTTTCGGCACGAAATTGACCTTATTGTCCGCATACCACTTCAGCACGTCCTTGGAGTAGTGGCATGAGGCCAAATCCGGCCAGAAGATTGTTGGGACGTTGTGGGCCTTCAGGAGAGGAAGCAGCCGCTTCTGGAGGCACTCTTTTATGTACACCTGTCCGTTCATCGTGTCCTGGGTCACGAAAGGTGCACTCCGCTTCCCGCACGTGCAGATGGCTTGCCAAACCAGGAATTTCTTCGCAAATTTGGACATCTTCTGAGTGCGGACATGCTCCGGAACGCTGAACTTATCCTTGGCCGTGAAAAACAGGTTGCCGGGGATCTGTTTGAAGTCGGCCTTCACATATGTTTCGTCGTCCATGATGCAGCATTCAACTTTCGTCAGCATGTTGAGGTACAACTTCCTGGAACGGGTTTTGGCGGACTTGTTCTGCTTCTCGTCGCGATTAGGGGCCTTTTGTACCTTGAACGTTCGAAGCCCAGCCTTAGTTTTGGCCTTCTGGACAAAACTTCGGCTTAGGTGCAGCTTCTTAGCCACATCCCTAACGGAGGCGTTCGGATTTCGGTTGAAGGCCCCAACTACGCGGTTGTGATTGTTGGTCTTGTACAGAATACTTTTTCCTTCACTTCTGGGCTTCCGATCGGTGGTCAACCGTTCCTCGAACCGCTTAATCACTCGCGACACCGTGGAATTCGCGATTCCCAACGTTTTAGCGATGGAACGATGCGAGAGCTCCTTGTTCTCGTGATGAATGCGCAAGATTTTATCACGCACGAGCTGTTCTTTCGACTCCATTTCCGCGAGTTTTGATCACAGGACTTTAAAACTTGCAGGATGTAAATAATGCACTATGAACTAAATCCACCCAAATTTTCATTAAATTCTACCCAACGGTTAAAAAGTTAGAGCAATTTCATAGTGTGGCAATTTCATCGTGGACACCCTTTACGCTTCGAAATACTCGGGTGTTCCGCGTTTCCGGAAATGCTTAAACGCGTTGGACTTTTTACGATAAACCTCAGTGCATTGCTGGTCCCACCAAGGGGTAGGAGGTTTCCTACGAAAAGACGTTCCTGGAACCGGCCGAGTTTGAGCTCGAAGTGCGCTGTCCAAGATCAGATTGGAGAGGAAGTTATATTCCTCCAATGGTGGAAGGCCTTCTACCGACGACACGGCTTCCTCTATCGTGGTTTTCAACGTTGTCCAATCGATATTACGGGTGAGGTTGTATGCGACGTTAACGGATTCCGACGGATTGAACCCACTGACAATCGAAATTTTGATCGGCAAGTTATCACTACCCTGGGGATCTTGGATCACATTCTACATGCAATAAAACGATAATGAGTTAGAGCAAAGTGTGAGGTCTAATTTACTTCCATTCGAGGATGGTCCAGCCATTGTTAAGAATTTGTCATATTGAAGTTATCTCAGAGGTCATCAAAGTAGAACGGTTGTCGTCATACAGTTCCCCCCAGCCTGTACCAAGAGAATTAAAATCTTCCATAATCAACCGAGGAGTTGGAAGATCTGAACAGATATCTGAAAGTTGTTCTTGATTAATTGAAACTCGGGGAGGAATATACACAGAAGCAATACAAAGGCTCTTGTCTTTAACAAAAGCCTGACAGGCGACAACTTCAATACCTGGGAATTGTGGAAGATTCACTCTATAGAAGGAATGGCACTTTTTGATCCCCAAAAGTACCCCTCCTCCACGCGAATCCTCACGATCCAATCGAATAATGTTGAAATCATTTAAAGGAAGATCGATATCTGAAGAGAGCCAAGTTTCACAAAGAGCAAATGCATCACAATCATAATTGTGAACTAAAAAATTAAAAGAGTATAATTTAGGAATAAGACTTCGGCAATTCCACTGTAGGACAGTGATCAAATCCCCGACCTCGTTTGGAAAATTATCCATCGAAGGAAATGGTTACTGCAAGGAGGGGCCACTTCAATGTAAATTGCTTCAAGAGGGTCTTCAAAGAAGGAAGCATTGCCAAAACAATGCTTTTGGGAGGATCAGAAATATTGAGGTACTTAAGGATATCGTCCACAATGTTATCAAATGAGAACAACCCAGATGAAGAAGAAGCTTCTGTTCTTAAAAATGGGACATCAGGGGTTTTGGATGTCGCCGGGAGGGGTGGAAAATCGTGGGTGGTGGTTACATTCCATTACTCCTCACGTTTCTTCGAGAGCGTGGTTCAAAGGTCTGGATGTAAGTCGGGGATTCATTCGCGTGATTTCAAGACTTATGTCCAACCACTACTCGCTAGACGCACATCTCTACAGAATAAATCTCGTTGACAGCAATATATGTAGGTGCAGAACCGGTTATGATGACATCCCGGAGATGAACTAGCCATAGGCTAAAAATCTTTTTAATAAAGAGCTAAAAAAAAAAAGTTAAGATGACATTGATCACGCAGTTTGGCATTACCCGGGTAATGAAGCCTCCAGAGCATGTCTATTGGATACCCTAGTGGCCCAAGGTAGACAACCCTTCCGTGAAGTAAGAGATGTATTGGGAACCCGCGATCTTCCCTACATGCAGGCGATCTACGAATTCCTTTGTTTGTCTGACGTTAGAGTTTGAGGTGATCATCCCCTCCTTTCCACACATTTTCCAGCCATTGTGTCCCAATCTTATTATCCACCTGTTTCTGTGCTACTTGCCCCTGCCCAACCAGCATGTCAGGCGTAATGTTTGATAATGGCAGAAAAGCATTTGTAAACAAACTTTTTAAGGCCCTTAACACGCGAACCAAAGTACGCCCACGCAAACTAATACCACTTTCAGTGAGAGTTGCCCCTATCCGATTATGTTGTTGGTTTGCGTGAGCGTACTTCGATTTGCGTGTAAAGGGCCTTAAAAAGTTTATTTACAAAAGCTTTTGTGCCGTTATCAAATGTTACGCCTGATTTGGTCAGCCGTTCGAGAGTAGTATCTGAAGGATGCTTCAGAGACCTGTTTCCTGTCTTGCTCCTTCCAATCTAAATTGTTACCCATTAACCTCGAGCCCGCCACGAGTAATTGGTACCCAAAATTACGGATTTTTGGCTCCGCAAAGTGTCACACACGACTGAGTCTAGTAAATAAACAAAATAGTTAAAAAAATGCGTTTTGCGAAGAGACGATGTTGTTAAAATCCAGTGCAATCATTGTTTTAATTTTGGTTTTCTTCTTCTACCCTAATATTAATACCTAATACTATATATGTCTACCTTGACGTCTGGACTATTTATTCAATTCTTCCTATTCCTATTCTTTCCTTCCAAAGTTCCTACTCATTTTATTTTGTTTTTATGACTCTACAGAAGTTGAATTACGTTTTTTTGCAAATCAAACTTTCTGAACAAAAAAATTCTAGCAATTCTAATGGTATGTGTTAAACAATTGGAGAGGTAATTTATCATATCATACAGAAGCGGGTGATCTAAATGAAGATAGTTAGTCGACAGAGCTAGCACTCATCACAACTTTTTATATTAACACTCAAACGCGATGCGTGTGTGTGTGTCTGTGTAACGTGAAATACCGTTTTACTTTGATGCTATGCTGATGATGCCTTCAGGGCAAAAAGTCAGTCAGGATATGAACGTTTTCATCAGTAATTTTAGAGCTTGCTCTCTGCAATCGCATATCCTCGTCATCATGGAGCGAGTTGGGTTGCCTTTTGATCCTATCTACCACTTGGAGTCCGTTCCGGGTGACGACAACGGTTTGACCAGGTCATCATTGGTTTCGGTCAGTAGCAGAAACATTCGGTCCCGGCATCCTACAGCAGCAGCAGCAGTAGTTAGTGGTACCCTGGAATATTGTAGCATAAGTAGCAATAGTAATGAAGGTTGCTCCAATGCGGGGGAAATAAACGTGGAATGCTAATTTATATTCGTTCTTTCTGGTGTTTCTTTTTCATTTTCTACAGCAAATTGCAATTTCGAGCGACGAGGGCTACAGCAGGGACCCAACCAGAACTAACCAACCTCATTCGGTACGGCAGCATCAGCAGCAGCAACTACAGCAGAATCTTCCCTGGCTCTACCGGGTGATTTTAATTGAAAAAGGACTCACAATTTGCGCCGGAACGTTAATCCATCCGAGCGTGCTGTTAACCACTGCAGTCTGCGTGATAAAGTAAGTGTTATTTGGCATTCTTTCCAAAGGACCTGATGGGGGTTTGCGTCACCTGGGATGACCAGTTGCCTTCCTTTGGTACGAACTGAACCATTGGAACAACTCTGCCAAACAGTAGGTAAAGGCAAACTTTCAAATTGAAACTTATTGCTTATAAACCACTTCGCTACCGGTTTGTTCAGATGGCTTGGCCAGAAATACCGAAACTGTAAAACACTCGTTAGCAATTGCGTGCGGTCACCACACAGTCAGTGTAAGGAGATACATCTGTGAAACTTTTCACCTGCGGAGTGCCACAGACTCCATCTACCATTTGCATACCTCGGTAACGATATCATCAGTATTGCACCATATGAATGCATTAATTTAAATTTCAAAATAAATGAGACTTTCAGGTTTTCCCTCGAGGTGTCGAAAGGTGCAAATGGGAAAAAGATCGTTACGGGAGAAAAATGGGACAAACTGCTTGCGGTGGGGCTTAGGGAAGAAGGGCCATTATTACTTTCCGGTTCGTAACTTTTTATTCCCGAACAGTTTTGCAACTGATCCCGATGTGCTGCTTGTTGGAGTGCTAAATTTTCACCCTAAGCCAGTAAAGGCCATGAGACAAAAGGTCCATTATACGTGCATTTATGGAATACCGCAAAATCACATAGACTCCGACAACAATAATTGCGGGGGAAGGACCGAAAACAATGCAATCAAATCTTCCAGCCTGGAATGCCCTCAGTAGGGCCAGTGAATGGTTATCATTTGATTCCCAGGCAAAACATATGTGGGTGGTGTGCCCATTCTCCGAATCTCCCTCTCTCTCTTTCTCTCTCTCTCTCTCTGGGCCAGACACTCGGGAAATTTGCACAAAACGAGTCAGTTCCGCTGTTTTGTCGCTTTCGGTGCACTCACTGTTACTGACCCATCCTAGGAGTTTATTGCCGTCAGTGAGGACTGTACCGGACGATGACCATGGTCAGTAAGATAGGAAGGGGATCAAAATTAAAATTTAACTTCCCCGGGCAGATTTTTTTTTCCACGTCGCTCCTGTCAACAAGTTCCTTTTGTGTTTTAATTATTTGCTGTATACTCTGTCGCTTGCTGAAGTATCGCTTGTTGTCTGAGACAAGCGGAAATGGGGGACCATTGTCCGGTAGATTTTGTTTTGAAGAGGGTACTTGAATGTGCAGTGCACAGGGTGTATTTACAATGTCCTTTCATGGTAAATTGTAAACATGAATGGTCGCTATCGTTACAAAACATGTTCAACGGGAAAGAAATGCAGAATTTCTCGACATTCCCGAATTGCGATTGTAAAAACAAATAGGGTAACTGATGATGGTTGGACCTATTAAGCCGGTTTCACACAACGTCAACATTCATGTCGTATTTGTTTTATGAATTCAACATATAATTATAAAAAATGCGTGATTAGGGGAAAGATCTACCTTTCTTGTTTCTGATAATAACATAAAAAGTTAAATATTATGAACAAATGATTTTATAAAAGGTTTTTATTCAGCAAAGAATTATGATGTTGGTTGGACCTATCCTGATCTTGGTTGGACCTAAAATATGATGATGGTTGGACCTATTTTTGCAAATGCTAGTTTAGCCCATATTTGTTCAAAAACTTTGTTTAGAGCTTATTGGTATAATGGAAAAACCCTTTTTATACAGTTTTTCAATCAAATCAAGAAATTTGAGTTTAACTTCGTTTTTAAAAAAGTTCACTTTCCACGCATTTACTATTCACTATGGCTCATGTTCTCGGAAAATCATTGACGCGATTTAGAAAATTTTAAACGTCAAACTATAGGTATTGTGGGGGTGGCGACCCCGGCGTAGTGGTTAACATCCATACCTCTCACGCCAAAGTCACGAGTTCAAATCTCACCCCGGACAAGTCACGAATGACCCAAGAGTGTTAAAGTAACTATATAAAAAAAAAAAAAAAAAAAAAAAAAAAAAAAAAAAAAAAAAAAAAAAAAAAAAAAGATAGGTATTGTGGTCCCATTGAAAGCTATCGAATATTTTTGGAATCGGTCAACTGGTTTTGGAGATATGGCCGCAACAAGTTCCAGGGTATATGGAACATGGACCTAATTTTGACATGGAAGGAATAAAACCTATCATTCGATAACAAGATCAATCACTAAATTGGACGATGTTTATCTGGCTGCGCTTGACGGGGAATATGACGTTTATGTATTCACGGAAACTTGGCTCGATGGGAGGATCAATTCAGTGCAACTGTTTGGTGACTCTTTTACTGTCTACAGATTAGACCGTAATTCATCCAACAGCATTCGTACTCGCGGTGGTGGTGTGCTCATCGCTGTTTCCAACGAATTCGCCTCTTGCGTAATCTCCAACGAACTATTTACTACAATTGAAGCGGTTTGGATTAAGGTCAGCCTCACTTTGCGGGACATCCTCATTGGAGCGGTGTATATTCCCCCTGAACGTCGACATGACTGCACCACAATGCAGCTTCATCTGGATGCTACAGAATTTGCATCGTCCATGGCTGATATAACGGATGTGCTTCTTCTGCTTGGTGATTTTAATCAGCCTGGGCTTAGCTGGTCACCCTCAGGCCAGGGTTATGCGTTTCCAGATCCGATTGCATCTTCAACTACTCCTGCCAGCCGCTTGCTTGTTGACGGCACGGTTTTTCATGGACTGAGCCAGATAAACCTTGTTCCCAATTTCCAGTCTCGTTTTCTTGACTTGGTTTTTGTTAGCGAAAGTGCACTTCTGGACTGTGTCGTCGTTGAAGCGCCTGATGTCATCGTTCCTCTTGACAATTTCCACCCTGCTTTGGATATATCTATCGCGAACGGATCTCAAATTCGTTTTGATGAAACCATGACTGCCACTCGGCTCAATTTCCGGAAGACCGATTTCCGTTTGCTGAGACGTTCCTTGTCCCGGATCAACTGGAACGTGTTGAATGACCTTGATATCGATACAGCAGCCGCTCGCTATAATAGCCTTTTGCGCGACTGTGTTTGTGCTTCAGTACCGAAGTGCCAACCTCCAAGAAAACCGCCTTGGTCTAACGCTACTCTCCGCAACCTGAAACGAGTGCGATCTAGAGCTCTCCGTGCTCTCACTCATCGACGATGTACCCTTACCAAGCGAAATTTTTCAATTGCCAGCAATGATTATCGCCACTACAACAAGCTTCTTTACAAGAGGTATGTAATTCGTACTCAACATAATCTGCAATGCCACCCCAAGGGATTCTGGTCGTTTGTGAATACTAAGAGGAAGGAAACTGGACTGCCGTCAAAAATGTTTCTCGGCAATGACGTAGCATTGACAACTGAGGACAAATGCAGCCTATTTGCTAGGCACTTCTTAAGCGTCTTCTCGAATGACTCCCCATCGCAAGCAGAAATTGAGCGAGCCGTCCGTGATGTGCCAACCGACATCGTAAACATGGATGTTTTTGCCGTAGATGTACAAATGGTTCTCTCTGTGATGAGTAAAACCAAATCATCATTTTCACCAGGTCCGAGTGTTATTCCATCTGCAGTCCTAAAAAAATGCTCCGATATCTTAGCTGCTCCGTTGTCCTTGCTCTTCAACCTGTCACTTCGTCAACAGAAATTTCCCGCACTATGGAAACGGTCTACTATGTTCCCTGTTTTCAAGAAAGGAGACAAACGCAATGTGGAAAACTACCGTGGGATTACCTCGCTTGGGGTTGAATCTAAGGTGTTTGAGTCGCTGATAAATGAGAGATTGTTTGCTTCCTGCAAGCATTACATAAGTACATGTCAATATGGTTTCTTTCCTGGCCGCTCCGTGGAAACTAATCTCGTCAGCTTTACGTCGTTCTGTATGGAAAATGTATGCAAGAAACTTCAAGTGGATGCCATCTACACTGATCTTAAAGCTGCGTTTGATAAAATTGTGCACGACGTTCTGCTAGCAAAGCTTGAAAAAATTGGATGTTCTGTTTCCTTCTGCAGCTGGCTTAGATCGTACCTCGTGCAACGTGAAGTTACTGTATGCATTGGAAACTACTCATCGTACTGTTTCTCGAACAGATCAGGAGTTCCACAGGGTAGCACTTTGGGACCAATGCTCTTCTCTTTATTTGTGAACGATGTAACGTTTATTCTACTACGAGGAGGTAAATTGTTTTTTGCCGATGACTTGAAGATTTATCTAGTCATTTGAGGCTATGCCGACTGTTTAGAACTACAAAACCTTCTTGAAATCTTTAATGATTGGTGTGAACGTAATTTTATGGTCCTGTGCGTCTCAAAGTGCTGCGTAATTAGTTTTCGTCGAACTAGGACTGCCATTTTGTTTGATTATAACGTTGCTGGAACTGCAGTTCAACGTGTCGATCACGGTAAAGACCTCGGTGTCATGTTGGATGAAAAGCTCACATACACTCGCCACTTCTCAACCACGATCGACAAAGCTAATCGACAGCTTGGATTCATGTTCAAGATATCTAAGGAATTTCGTGATCCTCTGTGTTTTAAAGCCCTTTACTGTTCATTGGTACGCTCACTACTGGAATTCGCGAGTGTAGTTTGGAATCCCTACCAAGCTGTATGGAGTGGACGATTCGAAGCTGTTCAACGCAAATTCGTCAGATACGCACTGCGCTATCTTCCATGGAGTGACCCGCTGAATTTACCACCGTATGCTGACCGCTGTCGTTTACTGGGTTTGGATACTCTTGCTAAGCGACGAAACATATCGCAGGTCGTCTTCGTTGCTAAAGTTTTACTCGCAGAATATGATGTTCCTGAGTTACTGGCCAAAATTAATCTGTATGCTCCTGCCCGAACACTCCGTCCGAGAACCTTGCTACATGAAGTAGTACATGCAACCAACTATGCTGCAAACAGTTCCTTTGTCGCCATGATTCATCAATTCAACGAAGCCTCTGACCTATTTGACTTTGACATCAATGCCTCGATGTTTCGTCATCGTTTGCTGTTGGCCAATTTTTAATTTTTAATGAGTGACTACATTTA